GCGGCCCCAATGGACAGCGAGCTGTAGGTGGCACAGAGCAGTCTCAACCTGAGCACAGCCCCAGCTTTGGGCTGGTTCCATCTCATCCCCTCTCCTCATGCTGCATTTCTGTATCAATACCTTTCCTGTCCTTCAGGTACTCCGGGTCAATCAGGCAGACACCATCTGCAAACAAGCAAAAGGAGAAGGACCGGTGAGTTCAGCTGCATGGGGAGATCTTTGCTAAAACACAGCTTTTTAAACCCAAATAATCCACTTTACAGCTGGAAGGTGACAAGAAGAGCTGCTGCCAAGGGGGATGGTGATGTCTCCTCCAGCAGAGTGGCTGGGTTGTTTTGCAAAGGGACTTTGTCCCCTTCCCCACAATTTTTCCTAAGGATATTTGCAGGAAAACATGGCATTTGCTCCTCCAGAGCTGCTCCTCCTGCTCTACCAGCAGCCCACAACGCTGGGGCTGGCTTCCCCAGCCTCTCTTGCTTGTCCTTCCCCCTCAGTGCTGGGCACTGCCCCACTCACCTACAGATTCCACTGAATCCACGTTATCCACATAATCTCTCTTCCCTAGGTACAGGGAAAGCTGGAAGCAGCACATGGGAAAAGGGAGGGAGAAAACAAGTTAAGGTTTGCCAGGGAATTCACCCAAATTTCAAAGCCCTGAGTTGTGTCATGGGGTTTGTCACCAGGCTGGACCAGAATCACCTTGAAGGGGTCATATCAGGGTATTTTTTAAGTTTCTGTTTTGAAAAGCCAGTCCTGCAGTGACACCATGGCAGGTCCAGGAATCAATCAGATTTCGAAGGGAAGGCAGAGCCAGCCCGGATCCTGTGGGCAGATCCAGCCCAGGGGGATCCCAGCACAGCCCAAACATTGGGCTGGCCACACAAGGGGACAGACACATCAGGGGACAGGGCACAGAGACTCACCTTGCTGTTGGGGCTGGTCTTCTTGAAAACCCTGTGGAGAAAACAGAGGTGGATGTTTGGGAATGCCTTGGACAAGGCTGTATGGGACACAGGGACATGATGGGCTGCCCTACAAATGTGCTGCATCACCAAGGGTGTCCAGTCCCTGGCGAATTCCTTGTCCTGCAAATTCAGGGCCAAACCCACCCTTTGTGACTGCCCCAGGTGGGTTCCTGAGCTCAGGGTGACCATGGAGAATTCTATGGAGGACCATGGGGGGATTCTGTGTCTTAAGGGCAAGTAGAAAAGAAAGGCTAACACAGAACTCCATGACAGCTCCATGGGAGCTCACATTCCAGCCCCTGGGAGCAGCAGCTGGGCCGAGCTGGGGTCTCACTTTCCCCCTCTGCTCCTGCCCTGCTCCATCCCAATTCCAGATAAATAAATCAATAAAAATACTTACTTTGATCCGTCTCCCATTTTAGCTCAGTGCAGGAATGTCCACAAGGAAATCTGTGGGGAGAAACAGGGAAAGCACTGCATGAGGTTCTGGGGAAGAGGCAACTCCACAACTCCAGCCACGGCCACCATCCAACATTCTGCACATCCCAACAAACTGCAGAGCCCTCGGGACAGGGCACTGCCACCTTTGCAGAGCTTGAGAGCTACAGGTTTGCCTTTGGGGCAGCACATGGGAGCTGAGCCAGCTCCTTGTTCCCAGCCAAAAAGGTGAGGAAGTGAGAGAGAGTTGGTCCAGAAAAGAGGAAGCACAGGGGTGATTCCTAATGGAGCAGGTTCAAGACCGGGAAAAGCAAAAAAATGAACAAAAGGCTTTATAGAGTCTCAATGTTAATGGTTTTTCCTGGAAATTGGCAGTCATGGCTCAGTGGTAGGAATGGGCTTGTTTTGTCCTGTCACTCCCAGGAAGGTGAGGAAAACCCAGGGAGAAAGTCAAGGGAAGCTGAACTGCCCATGGAAAGAGGGGTCTCTGGGCACAGGATCCCTCCTGATCCCCAACCCTCTGTGCTGGGAGTGGGGCTGGAGCTGCCCAGCCCTGCCCAAGCTCTGCTGGCTCCAGCCTGTGGCCAGGAGGAACCTGCAAAGATCCCACTGATCACCAGCTGATTCTGGGATATTAAATGGGATGAGCTCAGCCTCTTAGGGATAGGCAGCTCTGACATGAGCACAGCTTAAGCCCAGGCAGGATTTTAAGCCCCAGGGGCACGTGGACAGTGTTGCCTCTGAACACAGCCTCAGGGAAGCTGGTGAGAGAGAAGAAATGGCCATGGGAGTGAGGGGATTATTCTCTTCCCCCCAGGAAGACAAGAGATTAGTCCCAAGCTCAGGATCTTTGAGGTCCTTTGGTGCTGTGGGATGTGAAGTTTGGGAATCCTCACAGGGTGAGAAGGTGCAAAGGGAGTGGGAGCAGAGTTTGGCTCACTCCAGACCCTAGGAATTGGGGATGAGGCAATGAAAGGTGGAGGGGAGAAGAGCTGAACTCCTGCTCTGGATCTCCCAAGCCCCAAAGAGGGAACTCAGACCCTCCCTGGCTCGGCTCAGCTGTCCCATGCCGGTACCCAACCCCTCCACCACGTCCTTTGGCCACACTGGAATCCTTTTTGTCCACATTTTCCCCAATTTTCAGCTGTAAACCACCCTCCTTCCAGACACAACCCAGCACTAGCGTCCTTGCCCTGTTTTCCAAAGCCTCAGAACCCCGGAGCAGTGGCAGGGCCCAGGCAGCAGAGCAGGCAGCACTCACCCGGCAGCTGGATGGACAGACAGACGCTCTCCTCTTGCTCGCCCAGCAGCTCCCCGTGCCACCCAGTCACTACAGGCTGCTCCCAGTGCTGCAGGTTCTTATATCCCCCCTGGCTGTCCCTCCCCTGGCATCTGATCTCGCCCACTCAGCCTTGGCTGGGCTGGGGGGGCTGTGTGTCTGTGAGGGCTCCAGGAGAGGGACTTGAGGGAAGAATCCTATTAGTTGATTAATTGGGGAGACGCTGCATGAGTAAGAGTGGGCTATAAATACAATCCCTTGCTGGAGCCCTGGGAAAGCAGCTTAGAGGGATTGGCAAAGAGGGCTTAGGAGCAAGGTGATGGTAATTGAGGTGGAAGCTCTGCTCCCGGTGGGAAGGAGTGTGGATTCCCACAGGGGCTCTCTGCAGCTGCTCCCATGGCAAGGGGAGGTGGGATGGGTCTGGGCATGGGCTTGGATGGAGGTGGCAGAGGAGGGACCAGCCTGGAGCTCTCCCTCCCCTTCCTGGCTAGATAACAGGAGGATGGAGGCACAAGCAGCTCCCTGCATGGCCAAGGTGCCCATGAGGTTGCTCACCTAGAGGTGACCTGCCATGGCCCAGGGCACAGAGGCCACCCTCCCCATGGGGACACTGCTGTGCAGGAGGGTGGGGTGAAGGCAGGATTCACCCTCCCTGAACCAAGAGGGAAGGACCAGCCAGCCCTGGTGGGTGGGACACAGAGCTGCCACTGTCCCCAGCACAGCCTGCCCAGCCCAGCACCATTTCATAACTCCAGGCTGGCCTTGACTGATCCAATTAGTGCATCATTAACTCCAGGTTTGCTGCAGCAAAGAGGAGACTGTCCAAGAGAAAGCCCAAAGCGGCTCTGCTTTATGGCTGCCAGGCAAGCAGAATTCCCACTGCAATCCTGCCACAGCCATTGTGTGAGATAACCCCCGTGGGAATGGCTCTAGGGATGGGGCACAAGGACAGCCCAGGGCAGCTACAAACTGCTCCAGCAATGCCCCACTCACCCTCCTCACCTCCAGCACCACTCCAGCCCTTCCTTTGGGGCTGCTCTTGGTTCTGTCTCAACCCCCAGAGCTGAGCACTGGGATCTGGGTATCCCTGTAGGAGCTGTGCCTCCTCCCAGGCCCCTGCATCAGCTCAACACCATTCATCACCTGGCCACCAGCTCCTCCCAAACACAGCTCACCAGTTCCCCCATGGCCACTGGGAGCCAGCATGCCATGCCATGCCATGCCATGCCATGCCATGCCATGCCATGCCATGCCCAGCAGCCCCACTGCCAGGGCTTTAGCTGCCAGCACACGTTCCCTGGGGCCGAGACTTGTGATCTCTTTAATTGCACACAGGAGAGCTGCTTAGGGTCCAGATTAACGGGCGCTATTTCTGCCACAGTCAGGGGGACACGTGAACTGTGACCTTCACACTGGCAGGTGAAAGAGGAGGAGGAGGAGGAGGCAGCCCCACTTGGACACCCTCAGCCTCACCAGGGCCCCCAGCATTGTGCCTGGGGCACGTAATCCTGTGCTTTGTTTGTGGCTCTTCATTACTCTCTTAATGAAAGTCCTGTGACCAGGGCCACTCACAGGCTCTGCAGGGTCTGCACGGTGTGGTGAGGTGGAGGGCAGGGCTCACCTTGGGTCCCTCCAGCTCAGCCTAATCCCAGCTGGGTGGATTCAGCCTTGCCCAATCTGGGGAGCAGATAATTCCCGTCCCTAAAACAGTGGGGAGATGGACAGAGGTCACATCCCTTCCCACACTCTCCTTGTGCTCCAAACCAAGCACTGGGGAAGGAAGCAGAGTTCAAAACAGGGAAATGAAAGAGACTTCTTCCTGTGCAATGAATGGCCAGAGGTTCATCTCATCTCCTCATCCCACCATCCCTCCAGGTACATGCACTGTGTGAAGCACAGCCCAGCCACTTCCAGAGGGCAGGACACCAGCGGGTGTGGGGCTGGTGGAGCGTGGTGGCTTCATCCCTGTGTCCCAATGGAGTGTCCTGCCTTCCTAGGGAAGGGCCACGGGGCCTCCTGCACCCACAGGCTCTGGAGGGAGCCTTGGTGCAGGCAGAGCCCCCCTGGTGAGCCCACATTGCCTTCCCAACCTCACCTGTGCCCAGGTGCCTCTGGCTGGGTGCCAGCTCCGCCTCTGGCACTGCACACCACGGCCACCTTACATAAACACTCACAGCAGGCACTGCTGATTTCCCAAAGCCCTTCAGAGCTCCTGGGCTTTCTCCCCTGATCCGGATTAAGCGGCGTGGATGGCATTAATCAGGAGACAGGCACCTCCACGCCTGCCAGGAATTACTGCCCTGCTGTTAAGTAACGGGATGGAGCGGCGCTGTTGGGACCGGGGCTCCAGCAGGATGGGTGCGTCCAGCCCCACACAAACCTGCCGCCTCCGTGTGCCCCCACGCCAGGGGCTGGGCAGAGTTGCACCCGCTGCTGTGTGACCAGAACACCAGCCCAAAACAAACCCAGGGGCCCAACTTCTCACTGGCCTGGCCACAGGTTCCTCTCAAGGCTGGGGAGCCAGCAGGAAGCCTCACAGGGGGTTTTGGCACATCTGTGCTGGAGGGCTGGGGCAGGAGGTGGAGGAACAGTCCCTGAGCATGCAGGGATGTGCAGTGGTGCCAAGGGTGAGGAACAGTCAGGAGTACGGCTTGGCACAGTGCGCCATCCTCATCCTTATCCTCATCCTCCTCCAGCAGGAATCTGCTTCTCCATCTATCTCCTGAGCAGCTCTGGAGCTGCCAGGCACTCGGACAGCAGACGGTGGCTGCTGCTCATCTGTAATTAATTGCTGTTAATCACCCTGGCAGCTCGAGCCACCACACACGTGTGGGCCCTGCTCGCTCCTGGCTACAAGGAGTAAAACCTCGGGCGCTGCATCCGGGACCTGCCGTGCTGTCCAAACCCTGTCTGCTGGGAAAAGTCTCCCTCCTTCCCGACCCCTTCCCGGGAGCCCCTGAACCCAAATTCCCTCCCTGCAGGCCGGGCACACCCAGGTGTGGTGACACGAGTGTCACTGTGGGTGCCCGGTGCCCTCAGCTTCGTCTCTCTCGGCCCCAAGGTGGGCAGCAGGTCCCCAGGAGTAGGCAGCTCAAGCCCTGCCACCACCCCAAACATATTTCAGGGGCTGTGTGCCATCCTGCACGGCTGGCAGTGCCTTGTTCCAGCGTTCTGCCATCCCTCATCCCGGCAGGATGTGCAGGGAGCTGCTGGAGGGAGGCAGGGCGC